TTTGCAACCCTGTGAATTAACATCTAGAGAATGATGACTCCATAAAAGAGAGACAAGACAACAACCCGCTTAGTACAGGAATATAATCTGCTTTTGATCAAGTATCTGAGCTCAATTTGCTAGAAGTATAGAAGACAGAGAAACATATTGAATTGTGCCATGAACAGAATCTACACTGTTGGAAACACTACAAAATTGTCCAGGGTCTTCAACAGATAAAATGTGAGGAAATCAAAGGAAATAGCAAACAACTGGGTAAGAGTAAACTGTAAAGTCGAAGGGTGCACACTTGGGTGATAACATCATAAAGAAACATTAGGAAGAGGTTATTATAAAAGTCAAGGAGTGATTAATTTTAGAAGGAGATATATGTTTGATAGGGTTGGGAGAGCACATAGTGGGTTTCCAGGCCTAATTCTTGACCTGAGTGATGATTATAATGGTGTTTGCCTTTAATAATTTCCCTAACTATGGCACCAGGTTGGGAAAGACAAGTCAAGGAGAAGCTAGGTTGAGAGTGGGATGAGTCTGAGATGAAGATAAGGTGAGGATGAAAATGAGGAAACTCATATGAAGAGAAATAAAATGAGTAGTGGATTAATTTTTTTTTTTTAGGTTTTTGCCATAGGGTGCCAGAGAGAGACGGAGAGGGGTAAAGGTGAGAAAACATCCCATGCCACAATCCCTTCTCCTCCACTCTCCTCTTAGGATTTTGAGAATGCATGCATGCACACCCAGTGAGACTTTAAAGCAGCTGGGTCCAGGGCTCAAACTACAGTTAGGCACATAGGAGTCCAGCATCTTAACCACCATGCTACTCGCTGGCCCCAGACTGATGATCATTTTGACATGCTGCTTTAGTAAATGGAGAAGTGATATTGAGCATGTAGGTGATGATGATGACAATGACAATGATTAGCATCATTCATCAGGTACTGTACTCAGCACATTGTCTGTAGTGTCTCATTCAATCTTCTCAATAGTCCTATGAGATGAACATTATTACACTCATTTCACAGATTAAAAAATTCAGCTTTAGTACTTTGTCCTAAAATACATAAGTAGTGGAATTCAGATTTGTCCTTAGGGGTACAGAATTATATTTTAAAATTATAAATGTTAGATTTAGGGGCTAGCTGGTGGCATGGTAGTTATGGTAGCTAGATTTCACATGGCTGACCATGTGATTTGAGTCTCCGACACAGCAGCTTGGAAAATACTCCGGCGATACACGCATGCCCAAAATCCCAAGAGGAAAATGGAGGAGAAGGGATTGTGAGGGGCCATCTCCCTCAGGGGAGTTCTTTCTTACTTTCTTTCTCTCTCTTTCTCCATATCTCTCTCTGTCTCTCTCCCATGAATGTATATATCCCTATAGCAAATTTTTAAAATGTTGGATAAATTTCAAAAATTACTTTCAATCTTTTCTGTATCTCTTTTCAAATTGCAAAATCTCTACAGAATAAAACCTGATGTTTGTTCTGCATGTGGTTTTAAACTTTTCACTTGTTTTCATTCTTATAACAAATATTTTATGGAGTACCTACTTACTATGGGCAGCACTGTCCTCACTAGAAAGACAGGTAAAGTCTTTGATGTCATGGAGTTGAAATTTTAGTTGAACAGAAATGGTAAACGAGAAAAATGTCAGTGATAAGTGCTATGCAGATAAGTAACATAGGTGACACACTAGAAAGCTTAGATGACTATTTAGTGTGTATACTCAGAGAAGGCCTCTTTGAGTGGTTGTACTTTAGCTGAGATTTAAATAATAAGGAGTCAGCCATGCAAAAACATGGGAAAGAGCCTTCCAGGCATCTGTTAACCCTAAATTTGGTAAGGTTGAGGAACAGAAAGTAGATGAGAGCAGGTTGGACTGGGGTATTACATAGTGCTTGGTCAGGTGGTAGCAATTTGGATGTTAATATAAAGGTGACTTTTAGCAGGTGAGTGCTCTGGATACTTTGTAGGAAGAATGAAGTGTCAGGAGGCAAGAGGGCAAGAGACACTTAGGAAACAAGGCAAGAGCTGGTGACCTGAGCTAGGCAGAGGTAGTAGAGATGAGAACGGGAGTGTACATTTTGTATGATGCATCCACTGGACTTGCTGAATTGGGAAGAGGCGAATATAGGCATAAAGACTAACTCTTATTTGGGTTTGAACATTGGCTGGTGTTGATCCATCCTAAAGATTGGGAAAGAAAAGGTTTCGGGCAGTGGTGTTGGCAGTGATTTGAGTAGAAACAAACACTGTTTGCCTGTGTTAATTTCAAAGTGCATCTTAGACTCCATCTGGACACCTGTCAAACAGACCATTTCATACACAAGACTTGGAGTTCTAGGAAGAGGTCAGGGCTAGATTTGGGAGTCAAATAGATTTTATTTGCATTTCTGAGGCTGAGTGAGGTCACCTGAGAGAGTGATTGTATTTTACAAGACCAGCAGGTCCAGGACAGAGTCATGGGGAATATCAACATGTAGATGTGAAGCAGAGAGCTATTAGGTGCTTGATAAGACTACTAGGTGTTTGATAAGTATGATGTCAGGAAGCCTGTGACTCTTTACAGTCATCTCAGTCCAATTTTTACTACAGCCACTATTGCAATGACATAGCCCATGACAGCTTCATGCAGGTGTAATGGGACAGTGCCTGTCTCAGGTAAAAACCAGGTACCTCCCCCTCCCAGTGGTGTTTCTCAAGCCTGTGGAGTAGGAATCCTGAGGAATCTACTGGCACTTATGCATGGGCTGGAACTGGAAAGATAACGTTTGTGGGGCTACCCTTGAGTTCTGGGAGGATGAGATCTGATAGAAATATGCTTCCTCTTTTATGCCCCAGGCAGGAAGTTCTAAGGCATATTTTGTTAGACTCTTCCAAGTCTCATGAATCAAGCACTAGCTGCACCAGTTGCCTACAACTGTGGCCAGCCCCAAAACACAACCTTGTATTGACTTTCTTACTTTCTCTGCTATCTCTCACAGTTCCCTGGACTCTTTTCCCAAATAAACCATCTGCATCCAAGTCTTTGTTTCAGATTCTGCTTTTGGGAAAAATCAGTATTTCAAGAAGGAGAGCAAACTTAACTGTATTACTGTTGTTAAGAGGTGGAGGGTCTACAAGATGTAGCTAGATGGGATTACTAGGAACTCTGACAAACCAGTCTTAGCGGAGTGGAATGAAACAGAAGTTCACCGAGAGAATAAAAGATAAGCAAACAGAGACAGCAAACTGTAGATTCCCAGTAAAGGGCACAAATACTGTGAACCCTTGAGCTCTCAGCTACTCTCTCCTTTTGAAATATATCACATAAACTGGTGGCTGGAAGGAGAGAAATGAGCCAATATCTAAAAAGGTAGTAAGGGTCAAGGGAAGGTTTTTTTAAGTTAGGAGACAGTAGACCATGAGAATCATGGTCCAGCAGACAGAAAGATACTCATGCAAGAGGTAGGGGGAAATTGAGAATGAGTGGAGTTAGAGTGTAAGGGTTGGCCTTTGGCCAGAACAGGGACCTTTCATTTATAGATGCCAAGGAAAGACAGTAAGACAAGTGTGTGGGTAAGTTTGATAGTGGGAAAATAGTGGAATTAGTATCCAATTGCTTCTATTTTCTCAACAAATTATTTTATCAGATCAAAAGCTAAGAGAGGGCAGTAGGAAGTGTAACAAGTTTGAAAAAAGAAGAGCAGTGAAATAGTTTTGAAAGCTAAGAACACAAATATATTAGGCAAGTGATTGCTGAGCTGAACTGAGTACTCAATTATTTATTTCATTGAAAGACTGTCAACTAAAGACTGCTATCCCATTTTTAGGGAAGGTGGTTTTTCCACCTTGGTACTATTTGTTTTAAAAAATTCTTATTATGGAATTGGCAAGATTATAATGGAATTGGCAAGATTATATTTCTCCCCAATTAATAGATTGAACAGAATGATACTATTTCTCCTATCAATGGCCCAGAAAACTAAAGGGTGTAAAAGTTATGGTGGTGGAGGGGATCAGCAGGTGGTATGGTGGTTAAGGTGCTGGACACACCCACATGGCCAACCATGGTTTGAGTCCTGGACCTGGTGGCTTGCTTACTTACCTTCTCTCTTTCTCTGTGTCTCGTTCTGGTCAAAATTAAATTAAAATAAAATAAAATGAATGAATGGTAAATAAATAAAATTATAAATATAATCCTAAAAAAAAATAGTTATGGTGGTGGAGGTGAACTTACTATATATAACCGTAGGTTTCCCAAACCATGATCCCAAGTAGAGACGTTTTTAAGTACCACACTGAGCAGTGACATCATTATTTCCCTAGTTACTGAACGCGGGAGCAGAAATGAATAAGCTAGATGTAAACACAATATCTAATGGGGCGGGGGTGTTGTAAATTTTATAGCCATGAGATCTGTAATCCCTGTAACTGAAAATGTGGTCACTGAAAATACGTAACCGAAAAATGTTATGGGGCCTGTCAACTCATGGCCTATGGTACTGGCAAAATATGATCTGAACTCACTTACTTTGGTGGGAGCTGAATGTAGCTGATTTATCAGGTCTACCTAAAATCCAGAATTAGGGTTTTATGGAAATTGTACAAAAAACAAAAACAAAAACAAAAACAAAAAAAACAAAACAAAAAAACCCCACATATTTTATTTTCTGAGGATAACAAGTACCTAGTAAATATGACAAGATTATAAAATATATCTATATTTATTTATGTAACACACATGGTTCATTCCCTCTAGTTAAATGACACCCATTCATGTAGATACTCAGAAAAGCTGAAACCACCCTGTTTCTACCTTGATATGAAACTCAACTCCTTTGTGCTTATTGTAATATGTAGACACTATCCATGACAAACATCTTAATTACTTTTTTGAGCAACCCTAACAGGAAGGCTAGAATGACTATTACCATTTTAGAGTAGACAAACAAACATATGTAAAATTTAAATGTTCTATGCAAGCTTAGCTTTTACACTTGTTGGAAATATTTTTGTTTCAGATTGGATGAACAATGACTGGCCAAAGAACATGGCCTCTGACCAGTGCCTTATCCTCATGTCTAGGATCTGGAGAGTTGTACTTGAGGGGCAAGCTTGATATACATTAATTAGAAGGTAAAGCACACTGTCTATGGCTAACAGATACAGTGTCAAATATCTAGGTGGGTAATTCAACGTGATCAAAATGTTATTTTCTACCAGGAATGTAGGACACACTTTGGTCCCCCAGTTTCACAAGAATCCTCAGTTTGCATGGTGTTTAATAATGCTATATCAGTGGACAAGAATTTTTCTATTCTTCAATTTACCTAATAATAAATGTTTAATTATTTTTATGAAGCTTTTCCTTTTGATTAGAACAATATCTTAGCTATACCACCAGTTCATAATTCCCAAATTAAAGTTTAACTTCCTTTCAGAATTTTAGGACTATGTACTAGAGCCATTAATACAACGAAATGCATACAGATGAGCACCACATACTTTTTTATTTTTTTAGAATTTTTAAAAAGATTCAAAGCAAGCACAGCATATCTTTCCCATGTGAAAAATAGCAAAGAAATTGGCTGAAAACCAATTGTTTGAAGTAATAGATCAACTGATAGATTAAGTTTTAGGTGTGAGCTTTCATTATTTTCTACTTTCTGTTTCTTTTATTGCACTTAGTTCTGATAACATCTTTAAAATATTTTTAATTTTTACTAAATTTACAGATTTTATAAACAGTTTAAGGAGTCAGGCTACTTTGCCTACCTTGTTATAAGAGTCAATTTTATTTCTCATTTCTAGAACCACCATCACACCTCTAGGCAATCATTTTGAACTCTGGCAACAAATTCTCTTGTTTGCTTTCTTAATATGATTATTTTGCAACTTTTCAACTTTTTTTTTTTCATTTTTGCATTGTCTATTGATTTGTTCATTCCAAGGATGAAGGTTTAGTTGTTTTTTTATTTTTTAATTTTGCCATAGGGCTTGTGCAATCTCTGGAGACAGACAGATAGACACATACACACACACACACACACACACACACACACACACACACATACAAAGAGAAAGTGAGAAAGTACCTCCCCCCCGCCGCCCAAAGGGGACAGCCATGCGACAATCCTGTCTATTCCATTTTCCTGTCAGGATTTTGGGCAGGCACACACATACCTGCATAAGTAGTGTGTTTTTCAAGTTTGGTACTCAAATCACATAGTTGGCCATATGAAATACAGCTGCCTTAACTTCCACAACATCTGCTGGCCCAGTTATCTTTTATTTCTCCACATACAAGAGGTGGTGTCAAAAAGTTTATAGATAATGCATATAATAAAAAAACTGCATGGATATCAATTTTTGTTTTGCATTAAAATGAAGTTGTACTAACTCGTTGTAGCATGTTTGAAAAGGATTAGTTTGAGGTAAAAAGAAAGATAACAATCCGAAGAATCCTTTCAGAGCAACATGAATTCTTATAAAATTAAAGCAAAAACAAACATCCAACTGAGGGTGAAGCTTGGATGAAAGAAAAGTGAAATTACTGATAATTTTCTAAAAGTTTATGGGAAAATGCCTCCAGATAAACTCTGAGTTCACAACAGATAATTCATTTTAGGAAGGGGCTAGACAATATTGAAGATGATGCCAGCAGCAGCAGCAGACCATCCATATTTATTTGTAAGGAAAAAAAATTCTTGCTTGTTCCCTAAATGAAGAGAACTGACAACAGCAGGAACAGGAGCCAATGCTATAGACATCTTAACTGCTTCTGCTTACACAATTCCAACTGAAAAATTAAAGTTGAACAAACTTTCTGTTTAATGGGTGCCAAAACTATTGCTCAGATCAGCTGCAGCATTCCATGGAAATTTAAAACAAGTGATAGCAAGATCCCAAAGCATTCCTTTAAAGAATTATAACAGGAGATGACACTTAACTTTACCAATAAGATCCTGAGGACAAAGTACAACTGAAGTCCTGGATACCAAGAGGCAGAAGTGGTCTAGACAAAGCAAAATGAGCAAACACATAGTGGAGATGTTTTTCAGGTATTTTTCTGCTGAAGACCTTTGCTCATTCCTCTCATCACACAAAGGTAATTTTGCAAGAGTCTTAATGGGAAATCATTAGGCATCTACCTTAAAGTCCTGTTTTGGCTTCTTCTGACTTCTTTTTGTTTCCTAATCCTAAAACATCTTTAAAATGCACACATTTTTTTTCTCCAGTTAATGTAAAAAAGATTGTATTGACATGGTTAAATTCCCAGAACACTCAGTTCTTTTAGGGATGGCATAAATAGCTGGTAATATTACTTACAAAATTATTTTGAACTTAATGGAGCTTATGTTAAGAAATAAAGTTTATATTTTTTATTTCCATTTTCCATGAGCTTCTTGAAGTTCCTTATAATCTACATTTTTCACTCCTAAATCTGGCTCTGTGACTATTTTAGTTAGATCCCTATTCAGTACTTACATTATTTAAATGTTATCCTCACCTGTGCCACATAATATATGATTTTGCTTTCTTACCTAATTGTTTTCTTTTTTATTATACCTGAGGTACATAGATTTAAGTTACACAGCTATTTCTCACTTAACAACCTATCTGCTAATGACCACTTCAGTGTGTGACCAGATCTCTGGTGCAGGATCCCCCTTTCTCAATCTGTGTGTCTTAGAAATTCCCTTTCTCAGTCTTTGTCTCCTTCCAGTGGTTGGTTAGTATTTACTACATGAAATGTTTGCAATCATGTGAGCCTATACATTTCGTTTATAAATTTTTATTTTATTGTGCACCCATGGTAGCATTCAGAATAAATAAAAATGAGTTACACTGGATATGTTAGGCTGGTGCAAAAGTTATTGCAGTTTTGCCTTGTTGAAATTTGCCTTTTAATATTGAATATATTCCTTTAAAAAATATGGTTTTGCCACAGGGCGCATGTGCTCACTGGAGAGATAGTGAGAGGGAAACTGATAAATCACCTCCCCAGGGAGGAGGGCCATGCCACCAAAATCCCTTTTCCTCCATTCTCTTCTTGGGATTTTGAACATGCATGCACATGTACCTGGCATGAATTTCAAGCCTCCAGGTCTGGGACTTGAACTGCAGTTGGCCATGTGGCAGTCTAGTGCCTCAACCACCACACCACCTGATGCCCCCGTTGGATACATTCTTAAATAAATGTGTTTCTGTACATTTCTCACTTTATGTTTTTTTGCTAATGACTTATTACTTGCTGTTTATTTAACATGTATTACAGACTATGGAAATGATGTTAGACAAAAAGCAAATTTGGGTGATTATCTTATGCAAGATCCAAATAGGTCATAAAGCAGCCAATGCCTCTGGCCCAGGAACTGCAAGCAGTGGTGGTTTGAGAAGTCTTGCAAAGAGGGTGAAAGCCTTGAAGAGGAGGAGCATAGTTGCTGGCCACCAGAAGCTGATTAACAACCAATTGAAAGTGATCCTCTTAAAACGACACAAGAAGGTACCGAAGAACCCAACATCGATCGTTCTGTGGCTGTTGGGCATTTGAAGCAAATTAGAAAGGTGAAAAAGCCTGAAAAGTGAATGCCTCATGAACTGACCAACAACAGTAAAAAAGTTGTCATTCGAAATGTGATCTTCTTTTATTCTACACAACAAAGAACCATTTCTCCATCTGATTGTGACGTGTGATGAAAAGTGGATTTTATATGATAGCTGACAATGTCCAGCTCAGTGGCTGGGTAGAGAAGAAACTCCAAAGCACTTCCCAAAGTCAAACTTGTACCAGAAAAAGGTCATGGTCACTATTTAATGGAGCCTGATCCACTGGAGCTTTCTGAATCCCAGTGAAACCATTACATCTAAGAAGTATACTCAGTAAATCAATGAGATGCACCCAAAACTGCAATGCATGCAGCTGGCATTGGTCAATAGAAAGGGCCCAATTCTGCTTCAGTACAATGCCAGACAGTGTGCTGTACAACCAACACTTCAAAAGTTGAATTAATTGAGCTATGAAGTTTTGCCTCACCTGCCATATTCATTTGCCCTCTTGCCATCAACTACCACTTCTTCAAGTATCTCAACAACTCTTTGCAGGGAAAAGGCTTCCACAACCAGTAGGATATAGCAGATGTTTTCCAAGAGATCATAGAATCCCAAAGCATGGATTTTTATGCTACAGGAAAAAAAAAATAAACAAACTTATTCCTTATTGATAAAAATGTGTTGATTGTAGTGGTTCCTATTTTGATTAATAAAGGTGTGTCTGAGCCTAGTTATAATGATTTAAAATTCATGGTCCATGGACTAGCAGATGGCGTAATGGTTATGTCTCTGGACTCCCACATAATCGACCTCAGTTTGAGTCTCAGACCTGTGGCTTAAAACTCATGCCAGGCACATGTGCATGCATGCCCAAGATCCCAAGAGGAGAATGGAGGAGAAGGTATTGTGGCATGGTCATCTTCCCTGAGGGGGCGATTTTTTGCTTTCTGTCTCTCTGTCTCTCGAACAAGTGCATGTGCCCTATAGCAAAAATCTCTTAAAAACTGAAATAAAAATTTATGGTCTAAAACCACAATAACTTTGCATCAACCTAATATTAATGTGTTGTGGTGTATCTTGTCACTTTCTGGTGACACTACCTTATGGTGCTATAACATACCACAAAATATCTGCCTTTTTTTTTTTTTTTTAATTTGCTATACAATGTGTGCTCTCGCAGGGAACGAAAAAGTAAGAGAGCACCCCCTGGGGAATGGCCATATTTTAATCCTTTTCCATTCTCCTCTCATGATTTTGGGCATGCATGCACACACACCCAGTGTGTTTTCAAGCTGCCATATCAGGACCTTGAACCATGTAGTTATCAGGTGGGATCTGACTGTCTTAACTACTGTGCTACCACCTGGCCTGATATCTGCTTTTAAGCTCCTTGCTTATCGACCAAATAATTTAATGACCTAGTCATAGGAACATAAATCAGTCATTAAATGAGGAGTCCCTGTAATTCATTACAGATACTTATCATTGGTCTATGTGTTACTTCTTTAATTTAGTTATTAATAGTTTAAACTAATATTAACATTTACTAATGTAACTCAGAGTTAATAGGTACAACTTATGTT